TTGATGTTGGACCCAACCAAATCTTCCAGTCATTTTATGCCTCCCCCTTCTTCAATCTATGAGACTTTTAAAGGGTCCCCTTTCTTTCCTATTCAGTGTTGATATTCAGCTACTATCTTACATCATTCCCAAATCTCTTGTTCCTTTGCCTTTCAAATGAAAAACTCCAAGTCTGCATCAATCTGATCTATCAAATTTTGGCACCATGAAAAATTATGGTTTTCTGCTTCATTCATGCCTTCAGTGTTGCTGGGCAATCTTCCTTTTTCTGTTCTGAAGAGAGAGCTTCCTCAAATTTCATTACATTCTACACCTTTCTGCATACTCCCCCTTCCTTCCAGGTAACAAGGTCACAGCTGATTCTGAGAGGGTGGACAACTCAAATGGGTTTGGAAGTCTTAGGTCCAGAAGTTATAACTGTTTAGGGTACACCTAGAATTGGGATATATTAGGCACTAAAATCAGAAACGAGGTAGAGAAGTGAACAAAAAGGTAGTAGGAGAGGCAGGAGAAAACAGTGTTACAAAAAGATAATGGAGGAGAGGATTTCTAAAATAAAAAAGTGAAAACTATATCAAAGGTAACCTAAAAAGTTTGAGGATTATCAAGAGACCACTGGATCTGGTCAGGAAGTAATTTATGACAACGGTTTCCATAGAATGGTAAGAAATAGAAACTGCAGGAAAATAATTGTGGACATTGAGAGGATAATAAAAATCCAAAGGCAAGGAGTTAGGCTATACATCCAAAGACAATGGATAAGAGAAAGAAATTGTTCAGCAATCAGAATGGAGTGCAAGGTCAAATAAGGACTTATTGATTTTTTCAAGACAAGAGATTTGAGGGCATAATGGAGAAAGACGCACTGCAAAAGTTTTAGATGAATGATAAAGGGAATGATAAAAATCTGAGTCAGGCTAGCTGACAACTGGATGAAAAAGGAAAATGGTACAGACAATCCAAAGAAGAATGTTATCCTCCTGTTTTTGTTCAGTCTTCCCCTCTGGAAGAGATGGTAACTGTACTACTTAGGCCTACAGGTACTTGGCACTGGGACTGTCAACAGTGATATGCAAGCTAGGCTTACTAGACATTGAGGAGTGGGCATCTCAAAGGCTAGCCTCCATGATGGTGGATCCATTTTAGTGGCCTTCTAAGTCAGACCTCTAGTATCCAGGAAGCCTTCCCTGGCCCTATCTAAATTAGTGCCTCCCACCACGTGCTTCTATTACATCTTTAATTCTTCCATGAGCTTTAAGTAAGTTTTTTATCTCCCACTGGACCATAAACTATGGAAGGGCAGAGATTGTACCTCCCCTGTGTCCTGTTTTAGTTCCAGTGCCCAACATAGTGGGCTAGCACTTAGTAGGCACTTAACAAATACCAGCTGAATAAACAAATGGTTAAAAATGATTATATCTGCCCTGCTGCTCATAGTGCATGTCAATTTAGGTAAGTGTTAACTCTTCAAAATACTGTCAGGCAGAAAGATATTTTCCCAGGAAAATACTGCATAATTTTGAAATATGTGGTACACAAATGAACCAAGTATGGCAAGTTGCCAAATTGACACTTAGAGGCATGCACCTGAGGTGGTTTAATGGCACTTTCAACTTAAATGTTACTTAGACTCAAAAATATACATCTCAGGCCTAGAAGAGATCTCAGAGGTTATCTAACCTACTGAATGCTCAAACATATTCATTAGTCTAACATTGTGACTATTTAGATTCCACTTGAATACCTCCACTGATAGAAAACACATCTCATTTTAAGAGAATTCGCACTCTGTTTTTGGATTGCTCTAATTATTAAACAATTCTTGCTTGTGATGCACACATAGCTTTTACCCCATAATCCCCTATGTCAATGTAACTACAGTCCTCCCAAAATGTGAGGAAGGCCACCACATCCTCTCCTAAGGTTTCTCTTCCCCTGCTCCTTTAATTCTTTTCATGTGAGATGCATGACATTTGAAAGAGCATGTCTACACACCTGTTTATTTTTCATTCACACTTAAACACTTTCATGAGAACAAATGGAATAATGAAAAATATACTAAAAAGAATAAAATTAAAGCAAGATGCATAGTCACATGGTAATAAAAATACCAAGGTATGTGCAAAGTGGAGACCCATTAGTATTTATTTTCCATATGATTATGCCCGACTCTCAATTCTCTTTCTATCCTAATTTTGAAATAGCCTTACCTTAATCCAGTGTTCCACATTGTCAGGGTCAAAAGCAGGCTGTAGGTAATATATACAGAACATTAATACACAACAATATCTTGACCAACTTTGCCATTTTAATCTATCCTTTTGACTAAAGCATACAGAAAAATGTACTTTATTCTTCAAAGCATTTCATTAGAAAACTTAGTAGTGATTAGCAATAAAAGAACATAGAATAACAATATGAGGAAAAAACATGAAGCCTTCTCTGGGACACTGATTGTTTTTATTTCTTCTCTAAGCCCACCTTGAGATGCTGATTTAATTGGTCTGGGGTAGGACTTAGGCATCAGTATTTTTTTAAAGCTCTCCAGTGTTAACAGCCAAGATATAAAAATACTGGATATAATACTCATAAAAACCCAAACAAACATTGATTAATTAGCCAGATTATCCAAGTAATCTCCTGCTTGGAGAAGGGTGTGTTCCTTTCCTTACTCTTTTCAGAAGTAGCCTGTAGCAAGAGACTTTCCTACCTTACCTAGATCAGGGATATTTTTTGGTTCAATAAGTATTGGGGGGTGTGGTGAGGGTTAATCGATCCAACCTCTACTGTTTTACAAAGCAGAAAATGAGGTAGAAGTCAAATAAATTTTCACCTAGATCAGTCAGATATCAATCTGAAACTAGAAATCAGGCTATCAGGACACCTCCTCTCTTCACTCTCTATAACCCCCAGAAGCTTTGCAGAATTCCCTCTAATAGTTAAGAAAAAGAGGTATTTTCTTTGCTAAAAATTCAGATGGGTTTTTAAAATAAAGGGTTTATCTAACTAGCATACTGACACATGGAGGTGGGAAAGGTATAATACTCTTTCACTTACCTAACACTTCACCTTCAAAGCACCTTACAGATAACTAATTAATGGAGCTGTTACAGCTGAATAATTTTGTCACTGCAACAAAGAAAGAGCTGATCCTATTAAAACACAACTGAACTTCAAGGAGCTCTTGGGTTTTTACCTTTTAATCCTCAAGGCAGTAACAATGAGCACTGGCAGCAAAAAATCTTTCCTTTTTCAAGTCTTAAGAAATTGTCCCAAATGTTGACCTTTCATCATCAAATATATATATGCACACACAGACACACACACACACACACACACACACACACAATCTCCATAACCTATTCTGGATCTAATCCATTATACAGCTAATACATTGCAGTAGGAGCAGCCTCAGTTTCCAGGTGTCTCTAATGCTTTAGGCTGCACCCTCCAGTATCTGGAGCAAGATATTCACCAAGTGGAATATGTCCAGTGCATTTAGTTGGTATAGAATAAACCACAAGAACAATTTTCTGGGCCCTCACAAAGGTCACACATCTACAGAATACTTTTTGGGAAAGTGTAACTTAAGGTTGAAAACAGCTGATGAAACTACTCTGGAACTGAAAGCTGGGAAGCCTCTCCATTTTAGCACTCTCATTTACATTTGAAGCCACTTATTTTTGTAACTGTTAAAAAGGTGATCTGTAGAAAGCACACACCGTGTGACTTCGCACATGTCACTTACATATTTTTCAAATTTAAACTGGGGTTACCGCGGGGCAAGCCTTTTACCTCACTAGGTAGAGCGTGGTGCTGATAACACCAGGATCAAAAGGTCGGATCCTTGTACCGGCCAGCCCCTAACCCCCCGACCCCGCCAACGGAATTAGATAAAATGGGATTATCAGGTTTTTATCTTATTTTCAGGTGCTAACGCATGAAAAGAGGGAACAGGAGAAGATTTATTTTTGAATTGGTTGAATTTAGAAATTCCCAAGTGAATCAAATATTAAAAAAAAAACAGGAGAAGATTTATTTTTGAATTGGTTGAATTTAGAAATTCCCAAGTGAATCAAATATTTAATATTTACTTGCACTCCTGAGTTCATTTTATATACTTTATGTAAAACGGGAAGGGGAGCGACCTAGGCAGAGCATTTAACGTGAAGGTCTCCCTCGTTCAATAAAGATCAGTTCCACTAGATTTGCAAAATATAAAAAAAAGAAAAAATAAATCTGCGACATTCCTAAAGAGAGGGCCGAGTTCTCTAATTCCTTTCATCCTGATGGGCGCTGGCAGACCTCTCTAATTTGAGAAACAGTTCTTGCACAATGCTGCCCACCAAAGCCATAAGGTACCCAGACCCCAAAGGTCCTAGAAGCACTTCACTCAAGGTAATGCTGGCTACGGGGCTGTCAAGGCAGGGGCGTGTCAGGTAAGGACGGCCCTGGGAGGAAGAGGAGGGAAGCATCGGAGTGTCTGCGGCTGGCTTCGGGACTGTGCAGCGCCTTGGGCCGGTCCCGCCCCCCAAAGCTCCAGATTGGGATCACCTTGGGACTCGGCTTCTTTGTGAACCGTTTCCAGCGATTCAGCCCCATCCTCTTCTTTGAGGAGGACCTTTCCTGGGGCCCCAGCAGCATTTTCCAGGTTCAGGCCCAGATCCCGGCCCAAGCTGAACAACCGCCCCTTTCCCAGGCTGTTTCGGGTCGCACTGGGAGTCGTAGTTCCTCCGCCCTTAAGGAAAGCAGGTGTGGGACGCCGCCAAACCACCACTCCCAGGAGGCTTTGCGCAGGCGGCTCGCGTGAGCTCAGTTACCATGGCAACGGGTTCCTCCAGTTCACCAGGGCTCGCTTTGAAATCGCCTTCACCTCTTTCTGGCGCCCGGTGATGACGCACTGCTCCCTGATTGGCTCTGCCTCGGAGGCGGTGGTTTAGGGGGCCGAGAATTCTGCAAGCCGGACACGTGGTAGCGAACCGTGAGGAGTTTTAGGGGTCTAAAACCTTGAGGGTTTTAGAGTTGGGAGGTTTGCGGGTAAGTGCACCTTTTCCCTGTTGGCGTGGGGACTGCTAGGGATGGATGAGTCTTGTCGGGCCCAGACGCTTCCTGGTGTGTTGCAGTAAACTGTGATTGTACTTCCGCCGTGTCTCTCCTTCACTTTTCTGGGTCTCCTGGTGGAACTTGGCTTCCGTAAAGTCAGATTCTGCCAAATCGTGTGAGCCACGCCGACATCTGTTGAGAGAAAAGAGCCTCCTTTCAACCAGCCTTTGCTGAAGGGCCGGGTCCTCAGTTGGAAGATTTTCCTGAACTGCCCAGGATACTAGGGAGGGTGAGACCGTCTCGAATCCCTGAGCTAGGCGCCTAGGAGGTCTGGAGCTCCGGAGATGGCCCATGGAGTGAAGATAAATCCAATCTTACTGCCTAAACCTGGACTTTTCCGGGGACAGCCCATTCAGGGATATATGGGCTTTATTATAAGGCAGAGTAGAAATTTAGAGCGGGAGCTTTGGACACAGCTACTTTGTGGGTTGGCACTAGAGATGTTAGGACAGGTACACTGTTGCCAGAGGTTCAGGGAGTCTGTCAGCCTTTGTAAAGGTACAGATCCACTGACAGACCGTCATTTGTCCTTACATACTAATTAATGGTTTTCCCATAGACTTTCTCATCTGTGGAAGTGAAGTGTGAATTTTCTGTATATTTAGAAAAGCATAACACCAGATATATTAGAAGAGACCCTTAAAAGGGAATGAAAGATGATGGAGGCAAATAAAAGCCAGTTGATATTTTGGAGACTGTTGGTCTGTTTCTTGAACTTTGCTTGGATTAGTGGGTTGTATCACTCCCAAAGCATGCTTTAAAAAATATGTACACGAATATGTATGTGTGTGTATATTATGTACATGACTTCATAATAAAAACTTGTATTTGAGGACCTAGAAAAGAAGTGCAGTTATGCAAACATTTACCATAATCTGATTAGTGAGTGAAGAAAGAAGGCTTGGTTCTTCTAGCTCTGGACAGAAGTCTATTTTATTTTTTTAAGCGTTGATTTCCAGCATTCTCTGATACTTTCTTCAGATTTCCTAGTATTTGCATTTCATCCTTACCAAACAGAATCACTGACGATAGCAATTTATCTACTACAATGCTTTTTCTTAAGCTTGATCATCTGCTTTTCTGTGCTTATTTTTTCCTTCAGTAACATGTCGAATTACTGTGATTAGGGTGGAACTTTTAAGAAGGCCCAAACAGCAGAATGTGAGTACAAAGTCTTGCACTGTGAGAGAGCCAATTGAGTATTTCTCTCCAGCTGACCTGGTGGGTTCAGTATGCTAAGCTGAAGATTTTGAATTTCATCTTTAAAGTTATGGGTATTAAACTTTTGGGATTAAAGCACTGTATCACAGGGAAGCCCATCTCTGCATCTAAGAACATGGTAGCCGATGTCCTCTAGACTACAAATACCTGTAATGGTAGACCTTGGGTTAAGAATGAGGAAAGCTATTTCTTCAGTTGAGGTTAAGAGTGGAAAGAGGAGATGGGAGAAAATACCTTCAGTATTGAGTGGATGATTAATCACACTTGAGGCTCTTCTGTTAAAAGATGGAGACTCCTAGAGCATGTTTATTCTTTCCTCACACAAGGATTGAACTGAGAGTTCCCTGAGAGAAAGTTGAGTATAGGAAGCCAAGAGTCTGAGCTCCTAGGGATAGCTGCCTCTATACTCTTGGAGAGTCCCTGTATCCAACTTTGGAGAATCTCAGTTTGGTGATATGAAAAGAACTGATGGGTTGCCTTTGTGTGTATAATTGATACTAACTATTCCTATGCTAATTCTATGCTTACACAGCATTACATTTGGCTTCCTGAATGGCATTCTTTATGGCAAGAATGGACATGTCCACTTTCCTTTTTTTGGTTCTGAGTAAATAATTGTGCAATTTGATTTTGTCATTTAGTCTCTGAGATTAGTTTGTTTGAGCCTGACCCTAAGTGATGGATCTGTGTTGGATGTATGCACAAGATCAGGCTCAGAGCTTGCCAGGTTGAAGGCCAGATCCTTGACCGGTGGCCAGCCCACCAAGAGTTCAATCCTCTGTGGCCTTGGACAGCACAGCAGGAAGTCATTCTTTGAGCATATGTGATATTTCAAGTCGAAGGGCTTGAAAACTTCTTTTTAAAATTAATTTCCACAGCGAGTTTTAGGGGGAAAAGAAAGTGTGTCAAAGATTTCATATACAACTTTGAAAAAATCATCTTTTTCTTTGAGTGGCCATGATGTGCTGCAGGATGTTCTAAAAAAAAGTCTGAGAATACATCTTGTAGCATGGTAGATTTACTCTCACTTAAAAAGCACAATAAAAAGAGCACAGGCCTCTCTGCAGGAGTCTTAGGTTCTAGACCAAGCCTATGATTAATCTTGCTGAGCCTAAGTTACTGTAAAATGACAAAGTGGGTGATGATGGTGATGAGGAGTTTCCAGGTTGGGGTCTCTGGTAGTAATGGTGAAAATCTATAAACTATTTTCAGCAGTCTAAAGTCTAATGGCAATCATACATTACCTGGGATATTAAACACAGGTTTACTAAAGCATTGGGGTTTGTTTTTACCTGGAATTGAATTAACTCAGTCTGAAAAAGCAGATTTTCTCATTCTCATCAGAAGCTTTGATTTTCAGTCATTTATGTCACTTATTAATAAACTGGAGAAATGAAAGCATGGGTTTGATGGGGAGAGATAATAATAATAATTGATATTATTCTAGAATCCTAATAAACTTCAGTTTTCAAACATATTAATTTACCCTGTGAAGGTTCTTCCTACCTTTAAGTGAATTTAACTTAAAAAAAAATACAAATTGTGTGTGTACATTTAAAGTCTTTACATACCTTAAACAGCTCAGACGAGACAGAATTTCTGGAGTAAGGGGAGGGGCCAGCAAGTTGTTGTCTCCAGCCCTTTCTGAAATAGCTCCAGACAATACAGTTTCTCCCATTCTCAGATGTGTGTGAGGTTAGGGAGTGCTTAAGTTATTGCAGTTTTTAATACTCCTGGTCTGTTAAATTTTCATTAGTTCTTATTTACATTTCAAAAACGTAGTGTTCCATATTGATTGATTTCAATATTTAGTCAGAATAATAGGTGTTGACGCATTAGCTTTAAAGTGCATTTCTCGTCTTTGTGCTCCTCCCGCTTCAATCTGTGGAGCTTACTTAGATTGCAAAATGCTGTCTTTAATTTTGCTACAAAATGGCTTCAGAGCTCTGTTGGTTTAAAATATAAAATATTTTTTTATCATTTGAAATCAGTATTGTCTGATAAAAGAGTGAGAAATATGATTCTTCCCTTGTATTATATTTTCTAGAGCACATTCTTCTTAGCTTGTAATTATATTTCTGTAATTTTGGGGGATAAACTTTCTTCTTTTAACAGTTTTAATATGTAATGAGGGGGTTTTAAAAATAGGTGTTATACAACTATACTTTTTTTGAAGTTGTTACAACAAGCAAACGGAAAGGACATTCTTGGGGGGGAGGGGAGAGAGGGAGGAGGGCGGGAGGTGTCGGTGATGGGCCATAATAATCATATACATTGTATATTGACAAAATAAAAATTAAAAAAAAATAATAAATAAAAAATAAAAAAAATAAAAATAAAAATAAAAATAGGTGTTATATTATTCTTTGTTAAAACATAAGTTTTTTTCCCATAACAGTCTCCATTTCTGTGGATTCCAGTGACACTTTTTTTTTTTGTTTTCATCTTTTTTGGTAACTTGAAACAATGATATAGTCATAGAAGATAGACCAAGCTTTCCTCATACACTTATACTAATTTTTATAATTTATGTTTAACATGAAATCTCTTATTGGACCATACAGAAAGTAATTATTATTATGTCTAAGATTCTAATGACAGTAATGGCCATTTTATTTAAATATAAGAATTTGTGTCTTCAAAAAAGTAATATTTGCATTCCTGAATATTTTTAAACTAATGACAGATAATGCTTATTTGTTCAGCAGCATCTTAAACAATAGTTGACTTTCAGAGTATGGTATAGCATTATGCTTACAAGGATGGGATCTGAGGTTTGAGCCTCTCAGATGGCTATAATAATTTATCTACTAAAACACTGAGCCTGGCCCATTTGGCAAGCATTCCAGGTGGTATGGTACTTGCTATAGAGATATAATGAAGTATTTGTAAAATGTTGGTATCTCCAGTGACATTTTGACAGTGATCTGCCATGCACGCTTATCAAATTTTGTAGTGCTTTTTAAAAATGGAACCTATGATTTTGCTTCACTGAATACTAATTATTTTGCAGCCTCCAACAAGTAATTGGTAGTGTTTTCTGATTTTTTTCCCTGATGTATCTATGGAAGTTAGAAAGTTTATCTTTATTTTTTCTTTAAACAAATATCTGTCTTTCCCAATTATAAAAAGTATTGATAGATTACTTACGGATTGAACATATGCTTCACACAGTTTCTCATCTCTGTTTGAATAACATATAAGAAGAAACTGGAAAATAATCCAACTTCAGAGATAATCTCTGTTTATCTTTGACTTATTTATTTTTTGGTGTCTGACCAGTACAGGAATCAAACCCTGGACCTTGGTGTTATCAGCACCATGCTCTAACCAACTGAGCTAACCAGCCAGCCCCTCTTCCATATATTTTAATAAACACCAGAATGCTGCTTTGGAACCTGTTTTCTTCAGTTAACAACATTATTAGGAATAAATCATATTGCTTAGTATTCTCTCAAATTGGAGAAGGAAAAAATGGATCAAATCAGCAATCGGTATGGCCTAAGCAGCGTGACCTTTCTCCATACACATTTTCAAGGCTGAGGGTGAATTCAGCTCCATGACATTCTTTCATGATTAGTCTTTCTGTTTCCATCTTTCCATTCATTTACTTTTCATCAGCTCAGACAAAAGTTCCCTGACTAAATTTGAAAGTAGGTGATGTTATCATATTGCTCTGGGACCTTGCGAAGGTATCTTATTCTCCCTGTGTCTTTTCCCATTCCCCTATTCTGATATCTAATAATTGTAGGCTGGAAGTAGTAATAAGACATGCTGTCATTCATTTTTCTATAGGTTGCTTTCTTTGCAAAATGCTTAGCCTTTAGATATTGTGAAGCTCCTTCTAATTTTAATGATCTTTTCTTGTTAGGACCTAGAGGAATCCCTTAAGATGAAGCTGAGTCTTACCAAGGTAGTTAATGGCTGTCGCCTAGGAAAAATAAAAAACCTGGGCAAAACAGGGGACCGCACCATGGACATCCCAGGCTGCCTTCTGTACACCAAGACTGGCTCTGCCCCACATCTGACCCATCACACACTGCATAATATCCACGGGGTTCCTGCCATGGCTCAGCTTACACTGTCATCCCTGTAAGTGTTAAGACCCAGTCATCTAAGTATTGACTCTGGCAGCAGCTTAGTTACCTTAATTAGGTATAATACAGAGAAAGGTTTCTTTTTGCTCGTGTGTATAATTTGTAGATTTTCAGAATGATATCAGAAGAGAGGTATCATATATTATACATCACCTGGCCCTAATCTGGAAGCCTGTGTGTTAGAACTGCTTCACTTTTCCTCTAAACATACAGTCCCATACTGCCTTCATCGCCACTGCTCCCAGAGGTGACATGGCAGGGAATGCTCTATGAGAGCTAAATTTGAAGTTCAGGGGATATTGTCATGTGCTTAAAATTTTTTCTGTCTTCGCACATGTACTTGCTAGTACTACTTTTTAGAAACAGAACTAATAGAGTTAGATCATTTTGTGTAATATACGTACTAACTTTACACTTAATTGAAGAGCCTGCAATATGATCAAATAACTATGCTGTATTGTGTTATTAACAGTGATTTTAGTGGAGTAAGAGGAGGAAGAAAATCCAAGTATTCTGAAGCAGTTGATGTTTACCAGTTTCTCTTTCAGAACCGCTTGCAAATTGAAGACCTTTATTCTGGCTAATGAACCTAGCCTAGTTAGTTGGAACTCTTGACTAATGGTGTACTTTATTGTTCAAGACTATGTTTACTGTCACATAGCTTGTTTGGGTGAGGATAAGAGGGTTTCAGTTATTGTATAGACTATCCACAGAATGATTCATTATTATGTTATATATTTTTCTGTTTTGCTTACAGGGCAGAATATTATGAAGTCTTGGCAGAATATAAGGAAGGAGTTGGAAAATTTATAGGTAAACATTAAGTTATTTGTATGTGCCAGGTGATGTGTTAATTTGTAGTTTAGAGGTGCTGTTGATGCTTTGATCTTTTATTTGTACATTTATTTATTCACTGTTTAAATAAGCATTTTTTTGAACATCTAAGAACCAAGCATTGGGGATTCAAAGTTGAATAGGAAACAGTTGCTGTTCTCATGGAACTTGGAGCCTCACTGGGGTAAAGATAAACGATAATTCTAGTAAGAATGTAGTTACTGCTTTGCAGGATGAGGGATATGTAAGTGTATTATGACAGCCCAGAGGGAGGAGCACATAACCTGTTCTGGGTACATGTGGAAGGTGTTCAGAATAAAGAGAGGATTCTTGAGAGAGAGGATGAATGGGGCATCTTAGCTGAGTCAGGGAGGAGCAGGTGTTAGCCAAGTCAGGAGTGGGAGCAGCAGCATTGGAAGACAGGTGTGGGGCACACACTCCAAGCACTGAGCAAAGACCCAGAGGTGAGGGCTTGAATGGGGCATACACAGATCCAACACAGTCTTAGGCTTGAGGATAAAGCAGAGGATGAAGAGTTTATATACAGCTATATTCTGATATGTTACTATTTTGTTCAAGAAACAAGATTGTATATAATATGTATGTGTCCATTTATTTATAGGAAACGCTTAGCAGAGATAGTTAAAGAACCAGTTCTGCTGTAGATCCCTTTCTCCTGAAACATTTCCCCAATATCTAGGACTCAAGCGAGCGAATATCTTGTTTCCGTTGCTTACTTAGTCCTCTGCTTCTGAATGAAACTGCATGATGGCTTGTTGGTTGTCACAAGGCCCTGTATTTCAGTAGAGGAATTTAAGTAATATTCTCCTTGATCTCAGACCAATTTTAATAATCACCTTTAAGTATACAAGCATATAATTAAGTGAAAACAGCTGATATAAGCTTTCTAGAGAATTGTAATAATTAAAATTGTGGAAAGTAAGGTAGAGAACTACAGAGGTTTTTAACTTGCTTTATTTATTTTTGTCTTTTTTCAGTGGAATCCTATCTTATTTTCTTATGGACAATGTGGTGTAGCATATGAAATTTAAGCACATATAGTTTACTAACATTTTAGGGGCATTTTTTTTTTTTCAAAGGATGACCAGTAAGGGGATCTCAACCCTTGACTTGGTGTTGTCAGCACCACGCTCTCCGAAGTGAGCTAATTGGCCATCCCTATATAGTGATCCGAACCTGTGGCCTTGTTATCAGCACCACACTCTCCCAAGTGAGCCACGGGCTGGCCCTAGGGGGATTTTTTTTTTTTTTAAATGATTGTCTTTTTGACTAAAGGACCTAAGAAACTGATCTTGAGTCAATGAAACACTGAAAAATGAGATCCATCTGTAGTGTCCTACAGCTTCCCTATAGTTCTGCCCCAGGAACCCATGATATTATTATTAATGAGATTACTTTTTGACTATATCATTTCTTCTTTACAGCAGCTAGTTCCCCTTGGATGGTACCTAGAATGAGCATACTTGATACTAAATTCTTCAAATCAAATCCAGTGGGATCAACATGTTACTCAATACTTCAGTTGTATCTCATACTTTGATATACCTTTCCTTTGTAGCAACTCACTGTGTCATTAGACATGAACCTTTACATTTAATTCTTCTTTTAGATTAGTAGGTTTCAAAATAATCTTTTCATTCATGTTGATACGTCTCCTATAATTCCAAGATCTGATACCAACTGTTTAATGTGTTTAGAGTTGCTTTATCCAGCTGTTCCCTGTTACAACACAGTGTAATTGTTGATGTAAGCACTTTCAAGGGTTCTTTTTTGCGTTTACACAGGCATGCCAGAATCGCTCTTGTACTGCTCCCTGCACGATCCAGTCAGCCCCTGCCCAGCTGGTTATATAACAAACAAGGTGTGTTCTCAGAAGGGCCTCCAAGACTATAGCTTTGTCCCAGGAAGTCAGCCTATTGCATCCCTCAGATGCTAGAATCCCACTGTCTAGGATGATCCCTTTATGCCTTTTCTTTATTTTGATGATTCTGTTTGTTTGAAGAGTATGTTTGCCTGAATATGAGGTTAAGGCAAGGTATCCTCACCATTTTTGCTGTTGTAAAAAATTTGGAGGTGGAGGAGAGTCAGCTACATGCCCAAAAAAGAAATTGCTATGATACCATGCTTTCTTTGCAGTTTTAACAACTTCAGGACGAGTGGGGAAAGTTGCTGATGAGTGTTACCACATGTACAACTATAAAGAGTAGAACTTCAGTATAATACTGCTTGCCAGTAGAACAGAATTTGAAAAAGCTTGGTCTATAGCCAGAGCTTTTAGCTGGTGACAAACAGTATCAAAAGGACTTAATTAAAAGTTTTCTCCTGAGAGGTGGCCTCATTGGTATTAACCCTGAGGACAGTGTTCTGGAAAAGCTTCAGTGTGTACTATTGTTTTATAAACACAATCACTTTTCCTGCACTTACTTTATTGACATCAGCAATATCTATTAATCATACCTAAGAACACTGTTTTCAATTGTATTTCTGTTTTAAGCTCCTTTTTATTTTGTAATTTGAATTAAAAAGAAAACATGTTGATCTCAGTTATCTACCCTATTTGTAAGGGAGAGAGGATTTGTTTAAACAGTATTCTTGAGTTAGTACAGAATAAAAAGTGTGGCCTCTCAATCTATGTCCTTGTTGATCTCTTCTAAGCAGAGGGGTGTTACAGGGGAAGGAGTAACCAAAGACGGAAAAATATAGAGAGATTCTTGTGAACTATAATATTTATGTCTTTGCACATAATTCTCTATCTAACTTAATGCAGTAAACACTTATTGAATGTTAATGTGTGGGGTCCTAGACTGTGCTTTTGGTTTATAAACATGAATTGGGATACTCTAGTCAGATAAATATACAGTGGTGTCATAAGTGCTGTCTTTTCTATAAAAGAAACAAGTACAAATTGCTGTAAGACCTCAGAGGAGTGAGCGATTGATTATGCCCAGGAAAGTTTGGAGAACACATTAGAGTAGAAGATATTTGAATTCATTGTCTTAAAGGATACATAGTATTTTGCCAGGCAAAGAAGTAGGAGAGGAGCATTTCAATCAAAAGGAACATTGTGATCAAAGTCAGACAGGAATCAAAGTCTGTGGTGTGTGCAGGAACAGCAAGGGTGGTGTGGAGATAGGGCAGGTGGGATAGGGGAGAATGGAAGACTGGACGAGGAAAGTGTAACAAAAGCCCTGCTATCTGAGAGATCTTTGTAGAGCACAAATATGATCCCGTTGCCCACTTCCCTGAAAGAATTTAATGATTCTCCACTTGAGCTCTTACATGACTGCTGTGACCTGGCCTCCACCTACTCCTCCTGCTCATTGTGGGCTACTTTCTCCTGAGGCTTGCACGCTTGCCTTTTGGAATAACTTGCCATTCCTTTAGATGTTAACCTGTTTCATTCTCATTCTGTTGTGTCTGTACACAGACTTCCTTCTGGACTGTTTCTTCCTTTTGTATCTCTAGCCATATTCGCTTGCCTTTTGGAATAACTTGCCATTCCTTTAGATGTTAACCTGTTTCATTCTCATTCTTTTGTGTCTGTACACAGACTTCCTTCTGGACTGTTTCTTCCTTTTGTATCTCTAGCCATATTCCTTCTGTTGCTTCCAGATAGGGCTCATTTCATCCCATTTATCATTCTATTCATCTTTTGCTACCCCTTTGATTTGTACGTAGCTATATTATGGCCCCAGTCATATTGTATTGCAGTGACTTCCTTATGCATTTTTCTATATTAAAAAACTGTGGCCTTCTTAAGCTTAATTTGTGTGTTATTACCATATCTTCATCATGTAGCAGATTGCCTGACATGTAAGTCCTCAATAAATGTTTGCTGGTGGTGAATGGTTATGGTGGGGTGAGGAAGATGAAGCTAAAGTAGTAAATAAGGGATCCTGATAGCAGATATAGTTAAGTTGGCAAAGGATGCAATTACTAGGGGAGAGCAGAGAAGGTGGGGGAATGGAAGATAGTGATCAGAGGGGAGAATTTCATTGTCTGAAGTCATTTATATGGAGGAATTCTGAGGAATGATCAGGTCCCACTATGGCAAAGCACACTGAGTTTGAGGAACCTTGGTATTTTGAGCTTAGCAATAAAAATATAATTTGGCTAATAAATTTAATATACATGAAATAATTAAAGGAAACAACTGTCATTCTGAATAGAACTCACAGTATCCACAGTAGGAGTTCAGTGTAAGGACATTGCCGTGGGCCTGAGTAGTTAGTGTTGGCCTGCTAGCAATTGTTTTGGGCCAGTAATTATCCTTTTAGGACGAGTGATGATCATGTAAGTAGAAAGCAGGACAGGAGTGTGACAACGATGATTATTAGAAAGGCCAGATGAACCTCAAGTTCCCCATTTATGTTGTTGCAATTAGCTCTGTCATTTCACATTACTTCTGTATATTGGTCAAATGCTGGGGTCCCTCTCTGTTTCCTTTATGCTGTTGTTTTGATATGATACCTATGTGTTGTTTTTCAAAGTGTGTTCCTTGGAGCCCTAAAGATTTTTGGGGAGAATGGAGAACCATCCCCCTATGTGCTTCAACTGTACCAGCTTCACTGAGATCTCTTCTATCCATTGGTCTTCCATGTAAGATTCATTTAAACAAAGGTCTCTGTTACTGAAAATGGTTTAAAACATTCAATCCTTTCTTAATTCAGGTGCTTCAGAAAAGTGTGATCATTGGAGTGATTGAAGGTGGAGACGTGATGGAGGAGAGGCTGAGATCAGCACGAGAGACAGCCAAGCGGCCTGTAGGTGGCTTCCTTCTGGATGGCTTTCAAGGGAATCCAACGACCCTGGTGACTAGACTGCACTTGCTGTCATCAGTGACTGCAGCGCTGCCGGAGGACAAACCAAGGCTAGTATTCAGTTAGGGTGAAGGCCAGTCTCACATGATGCAGGGCAGGAGTGCTGATCAAGTGTGTGTTATGCAGTCTGTGCATGAACGTGTGTTTTGATGTTTTGATTATGTCCTTTCTGGGCTGAGTATGCTAAGGCAGATTGTGAGGGGAGTTTCCATCAAGGCTTTCCTGCCGTTAATTACAGAATATAGAGCAGAGGATAATTGCCATGTGAATTATTTTTATTTGATCTTCATAAGTGAGGGTATGTGTTATACTGTTTCCTTTCATTCTTGTGCCACATTAAAATGTTGTTTGTTCATTATAACATTATACTTGCGGGCAAATACGAAGCTGTGTGGAACTCTTTTAAATTGAGGAAAGTTGAGGACAGATCTGGGATGCCTAGTGGAATGAAGATGGGCTCTTCTAATAAGAACCTTTAAGAAGTTCTTAGATTTGAGGCAAGTAGTGAGTGGTGTCATGGTTCTAAATTGAGGGGATTGGCAGCACTAGTACAGTTGGTTCCTATGTTTCCATAAATCACAGGGTTCACTATGTACTGGTGAGAAGAGATGATCTGCAAGAGTCAAACCTACAATTTCCAAGTTTCTGAATGAAGCTGATATTGTACTCATATCAGGCTTTCCAAATTTTTCTTTTTCTTTTTTTAAAAAAAGACTTTATAGTCTTTTATCCCACTTGGTGTGAATATTCATGCTTTCTTCCTGCAGATATATTAAGAGGTTTGATTATGGGGTGCTACTTTATATTCCTGTATGGATGTTGGATTGTACATAGTACTATATGTAATTGCGCTTTTAAAAAAAAATCCAGGTATAACTTAAAGTGCATGAATCTTATGTACAGCTCAAATGAATATTTACTCATATAGACACTTGTGTAAATACCACCCAGAACAGGATATTTCCATCACCTCACCCAGCCTTTGCCCCTCAATTTTAAGCTAGTTCTCTTGTTCTCATTGCTCTCCTTCCTAAGCCTTTTCATTCTGATGCGGATGACAATTCAGCACTAGTATTTCTAGTCATTTTCTGGACTTCTTTGCGTTAAAGTGCTCACAGATGTCTGTTACTGAATTTGAAAGCTGGGATTGTTTTTCTTTCTATAAGTGTATAGAAGTGCCAGCTTCAGTTGGAGAGGAGTTCTAAAACATTACATTACTTGAAGGAAACTAGTCAGGAAAACTGGCATATATTTAAGGGCTCTGCTTGTTTAATATTACATAAGCCTTTTTAAAAAAATTTCTTTTAGAAATCAGGGAGTCTGTAAGCTTTTCTCTGCCAGTTCATGAAAAGGAGCTATGGGTAGAAAAACAAACATAAAAAATAGCAGCAGCCAGCCAGCCCTGATCTACTGTACTGCATTTCTACATCTTGTTTTAGTGGCAAAATTTGGTTGAGTATTATGTATTAACACTTTCAGAATACCTTATCCATTGCCTCAGAAAACACCATCTCATTCTACCGTGCAGACTTCTTGTTAATAGAGAAAGTGTAAAAAAAAGCCAACTAGATTCTTAGATCCTATGGCTGTAGTTGAAATTCTGAGAACAAGAATTGCTTTGTAAATGAACCTATGAGGAATATAGTAGATAAAAATGTCTTTATTGAACCAATTGAGAAAAATAGTTATAGGCAAAATACAGTTAAATTGAAAGTATTTGAGGAGGAAGTAAAGCACAGAGCTTTGCACTCTTAAAAAAATCTACATAGTGTATATGTAGGCTATAAAATTTAGTCTAAGACCAGGAAGGCATGTTCAGAAGGGATCAGAGTAGAAAGAAAACACAGTTTTATTAAGCTTCTTTTCAGAGTCGGAAACTATGCTGTGTGCTTTTTCCAATATCTCGTTAATCCTTACAGTGATTCTCAGGGTGTTATTCCTCTTGTTTTTAACGTAGGAAAACTAAAACTCAGGTTAAGAAACCTTCCCAAAGTAACACAGCAAGTAAATAAATGGCAGAGCTAGGATTCAAGCCCAGGTCTCTCTGCCTCCAAAGCCCTATGTTCTTTCTACCACACCTTGTTATCCATTGCCTGCCACTCTAACCATAATTGGTGTTTTTCATTTTATTACTTTTAGTACCCTGTTTATTGGAAAGACTCTGATTTCGTTCCTGGTATTGTCCTCATGTCACTGTTCTTATTATTTTTACAGGCTCATCTGTGGTGTTAGCCGACCAGATGAGGTGCTTGAGTGTATTGAAAGAGGAGTGGACTTATTTGAGAGTTTTTTCCCTTATCAAGTGACAGAGCGGGGATGTGCCCTAACTTTCAGCTTCGATTACCAGCCAAATCCTGAAGAGACATGTAGGTCTTTTGAAGCTAATCTCTATCTTATCCTTAAGTTTCTTCTATTTCCTATTAATTTTTAGCTTGAGTCACAAGACAGAAATGTATACCTGTAAGACCAGTCTTTTATAAAACTACAGCTTTATTTCTTATCTGTATGCTCTGGCATGTTGACACACAAAACCTGATACTTAATACTATACATGTAGCTCATCAATATTAAGATGTTATTTTGTAGTGAGTAGAACCAAGAAAAACAAAACCTCTTCTGTTAACAACCTGAAAAAACAACACGCAAAGTGAATTGTGATGAAAATCTAAGGAAAGAAAACCTTTGAACTGCTTAGTAAAAGTTAATTTTGTTTTTTCATAAAAGAGTTCTTGTGTGGTTTTTGCAAACTCCATGCTATTAAAATACAGGCAGACCTCACCATCTTCTGATCCTAGTGTTACTCTTTGCTTTTTTGGTTTTTTTACATACTGAGATGTGAAAGCTGTTTTCCTTTGCTAATGTTGCTTTGAAGCACTGCCATTTTCTTTTATTGTTTAGTTATTCAGAAGTCAAGAAAATCAGTTTCAGATTCTAACATTTAACTGGCAGTAGAAAGGGAACTGGGGTACACACTTTGGGCTGGGGTCCCTCAAAGCAGTTCTTCAGGAGAGTGTTGTGTGCCTAGTCTTCCCCTCTGGCCTTCAGACATGGGCTTTCCACTGTCCTTTGAACTCTTGCTTGACCACCACCAACCTTAAATTCCAGTAGGGCCAGAGGCTTCTATAAAGGTTCATTTTATTCCCCTACAGGTGATTCAGATTTCATTTAGAAGATGTTACGTTTTTATAAAGCAATTTAACCATTAATCTAAGTTAGATTACTTCTCGAAACAAAATAAATCAAGTTGATCAAATTCTTACATATAGGAGGTCAATTTTACTGTCCTTTTAGACAGAACAGAACATAATGTACGTCAATGGGTGTACCATTAACATTTCATGAATTTTTATGACTTTATTTACACCAAGACAGAGGTAACTGCTAGTCATTCAGTACCATGAATATGCAAAGCTATAAACAGAACCTGATACTGAGTTCTCTGGAATGAACAAGTTCCTTTTTTGGCCTGAGAAAGCCAGGTTTCTTCATGATGAGGAAAACTGAAATAGTTTGAACATTTTTATACAAGTATTATTAATCACATTTGTGTGTGTGTGTACAGTAAATTAAATTCCTTTGCCAATTACTTAGTGAAAATTCCAAACAAGTAAGTTGTCAGCAGTTCCCTCATATGACAAGAGTTTTCCAAAGTGTGAAGCCTTTATTATGATTTTCTACATCAGCATGCAAATTCATGGGCAAAATTATAATAGCTCAGTGCTCAGGTCACTTCTCTTCTTCCTTTGGCCTTGACAAAATTACCTTCTTAGGACCATCTGTCCATTCTCCTTGGACCAACACTGAGATTGTTATCATTCGTTCCCAAAACACCTCTTCTCTACCTGCAAAATTATAATAGCTCAGTGCTCAGGTCACTTCTCTTCTTCCTTTGGCCTTGACAAAATTACCTTCTTAGGACCATCTGTCAATTCTCCTTGGACCAACACTGAGATTGTTATCATTCGTTCCCAAAACACCTCTTCTCTACCTGCCCCTGTTCAAGGCAGCTTTTTGTAGAGAAGCTGGTGTTTTGCAGTTCTAGGAATGTTCCTTCTTAAAGCAAAGAGTTCAAGGGAACAACTCAAATTCCCATCTAATTCTGAATAGTCTGTGTTCCCTGAAAGGCCAGAATCTCCATACAGAATACATAAATTAAAACCATATTCTACTTTAATCTTATTTGGAATATAGGCAGTTACAAAGCCCGATTTATTTTCATGTACATGTACATGTAACCCCCCCACCCACATATACCCCCATCCTAATTGTTTTTTTAATTATTCCTTGATGGTAAGATTATATGTTATATACTTGTAACCATAATTTGCTTAGATGTTGTTCAATCTCTAAATTGCTTTGATGCTGGAGATAATAGGTCAGTGACCATTCTGGAGCATATTGCTATTTTCCTTTCTTGTGTGATTTCCTTAGGATAAATTCTTAGGAGTGGAATTACAGGGTCAAAGGCATGAAATAATAACTGAAATAAAATTCTTCCAATGGCCACTCCTTATCAGATCTTCATTTAAGACTCTTTATTGATTTGTCCTTCAGTATTACAACAAAATGGGATACAAGAAGAAATAAAATATGTGGATCAAATAAAAAAAATTAAAACAACTGGATGCAATGAAGAAATGACATCATTTGAAATTAATCTGAAGGAAAAAAAGTAAGAAATTCCTAAAGTTTGGGTTTTGATTTCTAACTTTTTGTTTTTGGTCTTTTTAAAACTTTATGTAACTATTCCCTTTTTGGTTTATGACTTTGTAAAATATTTATAGTTGGATATTATTTAGGCCTTCTCAAATTCAGTTCCAGAAAAACTCTTTCTCTGCATATGAATTTTTATACTTTGTCTTGTCAGAAAACTAAGGCTAGATAACTATTGCTTTATAAAAGCTGTCAGAAAGATTAGAACAAATCTATTGTTTTGTGTTTACTCCTTCTGATACCTTATATAGTGACAGAGCATAATAAGGATTTCAAGATAAAACACAACAAAGTTTTTAAATTGTAAGGAACTTGGTTATATACAGGTTATAAATCTTAAATAAAATATTTTCCTATATAAAGAATAAACTAAGATGTATTGTATTTTTGTATTTGGCCAAAGGTGATAGTCATCAGTGAACCTCTGAGTGGTTTTTCTTTGAGTTTTGTGCACTCACTTTAGTTCTGGGGTGTTTTTTGACTTGTGTGAAGGGACATTCTGGGGGCTCTGAATTATTTATGTCTATCTAGTAATGGTACAGACTTGAGAATTTATGAAAGAAGGCAGAAATTCTAGTTCTTGTCTGTATTCTGACAAGGCTTCTTAATTGTAGGTCTGAAATGGTGATATCTACCAGATTTAACTTTTTGAAAAATAGCTGGGGAGACATTTAAAATCATTTAAAAACATTTCTGTTTTTAAAATGTTAGGGTAATATAAATGGTTAAAATTTCTTTTACGTTATGGATTTAGCTGGAAATTGTAACATCCTTATTATTAGCACTAGATTTGGAGTTTATGTGAAAGTGCTTTATAAACTGCAAAAGGCTGTGCAAGTAGAAGTAGAAAGTGCTTTGTAAACTGCAAAATGCCATGTCTTCTGATACTAGTAGTGGTGGCCGAGGGAGAAGTATTCACCAGAGCAGTGTTTTCTAACACTATGTTCCTTTACAACGTGACTAATAATGCTCAATATGAATGAGTGACCACATGAATTTCTTTTGATGCTCCTTTGTAACCCTCAGACTTGGAGGTTGCATCTGTCAGACGCCTCGCTCAGCCAGTGAGCGGCAACTGGTCTGTATGTGGGATCCGAACCCTCGATGGGAGCGCTGCCGCGCTTCCCAAGCGGCGCACTAGCGCAGTGCGCCACCGGGCCAGCCCCCACATGAATTTCTTTTGATGCTCCTTTGTAACCCTCAGACTTGGAGGTTGCATCTGTCAGAGGAAAACTCCTGGGTCTCCCTGATTCATTGTGTTCTTTGTTAACTTTTAACCACATTGCCATCTTAAGTAGGTGCCCAGCACTGAACATTTGCAGTGATGTTATTAGCCATTTGTAATCTCACCAGCAGGATAGGCTCCATGTGGGTTTCTTGTATTCCTTACTTTCTAGAATGTCACTGTGAATTCCTTTTTCAGGTACCAGGAAGACTTTCACCCATTGGTGAGAGGGTGTTCCTGTTACTGCTGTAAGAATCACACTCGTGCATACATCCACCATCTGCTGGTCACTAATGAGCTGCTGGCCGGAGTCCTCCTTATGATGCACAACTTTGAACACTACTTTGGGTTTTTCCACTCCATCCGGGAAGCACTAAAAAGTGACAGACTGGCAAAGTTGAAAGAGCTCATCTGCAGGCAAGCATCTTGAGACCTGGAAAATACAAGTCTGACTGTTCACATTGAGCTTGTACCACTGTTATAACATGGGAAGAAGCAAAGAAGAAATGATCTTAGTTTTAATCATTTAATTAGTTTGGAAATAAGGTCTGCTGAAATAGAGAACATCTGTACTAAACTGCCCACATAAGGGTGAAGAGATTTCTTTTAAGGACTTAAATGACATGGATAGAGCAGAAAGAAATGAACCATGACCTTTAAAATTACTAGGTTAACTAGGCAATAGAGATTCATTTAGTCAAAGACGAAAGCTTTAGATGTGGGTGATGAAGTGGGAGTGATGAGCTTCTGAGGGACCACTGGGTTGGATTGGGGCTTGATAGCAGATGACTGTTCATGAGTAGCATGACCTCTGTGGACACAGGCCTGTTGACTGGAGAAGGAATCTGGCCGAGTTGAGGGTTTTCTGTATTTTGATCTTCATACTCTCAGGGGGCTCTTTTGGATTCTTTTTACCTTCCACACTGTCCTGGCAATGTAATCAGTCACAGTGTCTCTTGTGTCTTAACCAGGCTGTCACATCCCTGGAATGTGGGGCTCAGACACTCCTATGATCAGTTGGCCCACGTCACACTCCTTCATTTGGCCACATGATCTATTTATAACTTGTCTTCCTAGAGCCAGTGCAATTGTCTTTTAGGCGCCAAAAGGTTGCTGAGCTGCTTTCATCTCGTCATACAGATCCACTCTGATCTGTCCCCCAACCTCAACTATAGTCTAACCACATATATAGTCTTGTGGAGATTTGTTCACAGTATGTGCACTTGGACGGAGCCCTGAGCTGGCAATTACAGGATTGGTTTCAGTCCTACTCATTGTGACACCTGGGCAAGTCACTTAACCTTTCCCTGCCCATTTCCTCCTGAATAAATGGGGATGGCCATAATGGATAGGACTGAATGAATTTCTAAGATTCTGTCTAGCTCTAAAATTTGAGGAACAAAAAGTTTTAGATTAGAGCCATAGCCTTACTTGTTATTCTTGTGTATTAATCACTAATGGCCAGATGAAAAACAAAGTGGTGCCAGGAGACTGGCAACAGTAGAGATATCTGAGAGCTTAAAAAGAGGTTTAGTCTGTGGATTTTGAAGTGGTTGGTGAATTGGCATCAGCAGATCCTGAGGCTGGGGGGTCCTTCCTAGGCCATGTCTTATTCTATGATTTTTTTCTGCTCATGCCAAAGGAGTGACATTTTTGTTGATGGTGTAACATAATTTTTGTTTTCTTTGTGCTTTACTATATTTGTCAAGTTTTCTATAAGGAATATACATACATGCACGTGCACACACACAGTTTTTGTAAAAACAATAACAAAACCAAAAAGATACCTCTTCTTTTTGTAGGGATAAGAAATACGTTTGTTTATATGCATACTGGATTGTACTGTTTGTTCAAAATTTAGTGGGCATTACTGAACACTATAATTATTATGTGGTTTTTATATTTTTATGTGTCAGGAGCCTATCTACTAGGTTTTCTTTTTAGTTGTATTGGAATTGGAATGTCCAGGAATTTTAAAAATTAAAAAATTCATTAAAGGCAAGGAGTACTTATGGAAGGCAGAGTTTCTGTTCTCAAGGATCTGATTGTTTTGAAATGGATTGGGCTTGTTCATATGTTCGTATTTCTGTTCAATGCCAAACCTATTGTTGAGGGAATAAATATCTGTAAATATCCCAGAATCCATATAAAATTTATGAGTTTTATTTATGTGTAAAACACTGAAAATTCTGTCCCACGTTGTTCAGTTTCCTGGGTCTTTTTCTTATTAGCACATTTGAAAAAATGTTTCTTTCCTTTAATGTAGTAAATCTATTAATGGCAATAGCCAGTAAACATTTTTAATTAAAAAATTTTACTGTGTATTGCTTTCTGTAAATGGTAGTGTGTCTTTTAAACAAAATAATAAATTTCCACTGAACCAGAAATGTTCTAGAGATTTCTCATTGTAAAAAACTGTTTTTCTATATTTATACCATCTGTATTCATTGTTTTAAGAGCATTTGTGCTAAATGAAGACTCTAGAAAGGAGATATTCAAATACACATTAAAAGGTTCCCTTACCTATCTCTTTAAATTATATAATTAGGATCCTTAAGGCAGTGCCAGCACATAATAAAAATAATAATAACCACAATCTATGGAGCATTTTAAATGTGCCATGTACTTTAGTAAATGCTTTCCATATATATCTCATTGACCCTTAGAGCATGGCTGTGAGGTGTTGGTATTACCTGTTCCTGTAAATAACTGAATTTCAGGAAGGTTTGAGTAGCCTATCTGAGGACCTACCAGAAATGTCAGGAAGGTTCAGTAGTTTGCATAAGGGCCTATCACTACTCAGCTCCCATGTTAGACTCTAGCTCCATCTGACTAAAACTCAACAGTTAACCATTGCACTAAATACATTCTTATTTTGACTTGTTCCTGGATTGAAAGGGCTAAGAGAATCAAGGACTGAATAGAGGGGCCTCCTGACCATGAGGTATTGGGTGCTTTAGGAACTTTACTGCAGCTCAGCTCTGGATCCCACTCTCCAATGGGAATAGCTGGCACTCGCATATGTAACCCACGGTACCACACTGGTACCTGTAGGTGCTCAACCTGGGTTGCCACTCCAGGTCCCCAAATCCACCTCCCACCCACTCTTCCACACACCAGGTTGAGGCTGTAACCATACCCTGAATGGTGTTGAGCGGGTTTGGGGGCTGTGATTAGTTCAAGTAGACTTGGGTAATCAATAGGAGTCAGGTTTTTTTATATATCTTGGGGAGGGATATTTTGTTATTTCCTGGAATAAAGTAAAGCAAAAATCTTTTTAAACATTTTTTTAAAGCAAATACTTGTGCAATTAAAATGTTTTTATAAAAATTTCAAGTAAAGATCATCAAAGGGTCAAGGCTAGAGTGTGAAGCAACTATCTAATACAGGATATTTTTTCTGTAGAGGCAGCTTGGAGCTCGCTGAGAAACCAGAGTTAAATGATTATCCTGTGCCTTCCTGAATAGGAACAGGCTGCTCTCTGCAGTATGATTAGTCTTGCTTGTAGCTGTGGGATTACAGCTTATTAAAGCTGACAGTGCTGTGTAGGGCAGGGAGCCTGGAAGGTCAAACTTAAACACTGAGCCAACCACTAGGCCGGCCCGTGGCTCACTCGGTAGGGTGCGGTGCTGATAACACCAAGGCCACGGGTTCAGATCCTATATAAGGATGGCCGGTTTGCTCTGGGGCTGAGCGTGGTGCTGACAACACCAAGCCAAGGGTTGAGATCCCCTTACCGGTCATCTTTTAAAAAAAAAAAAAAAAAAAAAACACTGAGCCAACCACCAGCAAGGCTGTTCCTTTACCTAAAGATTTGGTGGTATTGACGTTCATTTTAATATTCTTTTTAATGTCTTTGCTTTCTTTACAATCTTCATGTGTCTTACTCATTTTACACCTTTTCTCTCCCATCTTCCTTATGAGATTCCCTGATTTGTGACTACAAAAGTCAAATAACAGGGCAAAGAGAAATGAAGCAAGCCCAGTGAAAGCAGTGTGAATTAGGGTAATCATACATGCTCATTGCTAACAAAAATCCTAGTTTATGCCTGTGGTCCAGGCATAATTACTAACAGCACCCTCCCTTATACTCTCAAAAGTGCCCTGGTTTGAACAAACTGTATGGTCAGCCTAATGTGAGTGGTAGAGACAATCAAACTAGAGAGCAACTACCCCATTTAGATGGGACAGCCGCTGCCCACCACTTACTAATTGCTGCTGTGGGTCCTGTGCTGTCAATTATTCCAGCCTTTCAAGAGAAGCCCCAAATCTGGGTTTCCAGATGAAATCTCAAAATTTTTAAATGCTGTATCAATTTTAAAAAATATTTTGCCAGCCAAACAAGCCTTGGGGTGTCTACTTTGCAACCTCTGGCTTAGAATCTGGAGGGAGGGCTTTGGAATCTTTAGCACTTAAAAATTTCTCAACTGATCAAAATATACAGAAACTGTACCCACCGGATCTGGTTCCTGCAGCTGTTTAGAGATTCCCACATTAACAGATTCCCGTGTTGTCCCATCTCAATTGCATGACCCCCAGATAAGTCCCAGAACCATTCTAAATCTGCCAAAAGGGAAGGTATGCATCATCTTATTCACCCTTCTGTTTTACGGATGGGAAATTTCAAGGTTGGAGGTCATCTCTACCACTCACGTTAGGCTGACCACATAATTTGTTGAAACTAGGGCACTTTTGCATGTAAAAGGGAGGGTGCCATTAGTAATTATGCGTGGACCACAGGCATACATCAGGATTTTTGTGAGTTGGTTGTTTCTTTCCTCTTAAGGATTGTCTTAGTTCAGGCTGCTATATAACAAAATAGCACAGACTGGGTGGCTTATAAACAACAGAAATTTATTTTTCACAGTTCTGGAAGCCGGAACTCTGAGATCAGGGTGCCAATGGTTGGGTTCTGGTGAGGTCTCTCTTCTGGGTTGTGGACTGCTATCTTCTTGTTATATCCTCACATGGCAGAGAGAGGACTAGAGAGCTTTCTGGGGTCACTTTTATAAGGGCACTACTATTCATGAGGCTCTACCTTCATGACTACCTTCCAAATACTATTTATTACATTGGGGATTTGGACTTCCACATATGGATTGGGGTGGTGGGGGGTGGGGAGACACAAACAATCAGTCGATAACAAGGAATTCAAACATACACACATTTCTTTCTAGTTCCACTTGGTTCTCATATATCTCACCCCTATTTTCTGCTAGGCCTGTGCCCTTTCAGGGTCAACATCAATTTCCCAATACTCGCTTTCCAGTGATCCTTTCTGGCCTCACAGAACCAACTGGTACAAGGATATAACGGCTCCTATTGCACCTTATAACATTAACAGCAATAGTCCTGGCTGACACAGTATTTCAATTACTGTTTGTCAAGTGAACAAACATTCTAGAGTAGTTGAGGCATTATCTTCAGGTTTTAGCCAGCTGAGCACTGGTTAGATGTGACTTGTATAGCAGTACAAGTATAGTGGTAGGACCTGAATGTCTTGTCAGTCATGGTTTTATCTCACTTTACGCTAGGCAAGCTCCCAGTGACCTGACACTTTTTTTTCTGTTACTCAGTTCCACTTTCTACCTTTACCATCTTTTAGTGCTGGCCGCAAAGCAATTTCCCCTGCTCTGACAAGATGAACTCAGAGTGAATTTTTCTTTTGTTCTCATTCCTCACAATCTACTTTGAGAACAGGCCGAAGTTGCCAAGGAGTTCAAAGGGCCCTTGCTTCCAACAGTATGATCCAGAGGGATTATCGGGTCCTTTCTGCTCTCTCCCTAATGTTCGCCTCTTTCCCTGAACTGCTCTCCCCTGCTGTCTGCTCCTTTGTCTGTGAAACACATTTTCTCTTATTATCACCTCGCTCCCTGCCTACTTTGGATGGCTTCAGCTTGTCTCTTAACAAAATCAAGATGTTGCTATTAATGGTCTTCTCTTTCTTAAGAGCTTAGAGTCACTTCCTTTTATTTAGTTCTTTTTCCCTTTTGTCCCTAAGTACATAATCATCTCTGCTTCAAATAAAAGTTTTATAACCATTTCAAAACCACTGCTTTATAGTTGCTATCAAAAAGGCACAAGAGGGAGGAAATAAAAGTAAGGGGAGAGAAACCAAAAGGTAAGGGAGTGAGGGCTACTCCGATAATTGAGAAACAGGGCCAGCATCTTCAGGACTCTCCTTTTGTAAAGAAACTTAGGCAAGATTAGCCCTCGAGACTGAACATTGCAAGCTTGGTGGGCTGGTGAAGTTTTCCTCTAATTTTTATGAATGCATGGGAAGGTGGTCTCCCCTCTGAAGATCTGTTTTCCTTTCAAATAGTAAAATGTTGTCTTAGAACTCTCCCAGCATCATTTATGTTGGTCATAAATCCTTTCACAGAATCCAATTACATAGTAGACGTAAGTTGTCCAAATCACATCCCCCCAAAGCTAAAATATTTACCCACATTTTCCATTTCTTACTTATCTATTTTTATTTTAGTTTAACAAACTTAAATAACATTTCCATTACAATTCCAGTTATTGTTCCCCACAGTGCCAGCTAAAGAAAATACAAACTATGCAAATATACTCTGTTCCCACATTAGTAATTACACATAAAAAGAGAAAAGAAGAGAGTGACAGAGTATGTTCAATTTTTTTCTTTTTTACTCTTTATCTGATTTTGGTTAGACTCTCCAAATTCATGTTGTTCTTGCAGAAAGTCTTGTCCAGTCATGTTGGAAAAGTCAGTTCTACTTACTTTTCCACTTGAACATTCAGCTTACCACAAACCCCACCTGTCAGAAATCAAATTTACCATTTATCTTTGCTGTAGATTGGATCCCCCTGCCAACCCCCCCAACCTCATTGAAGCTTAATCCCCACTCTAAAGGTTGAGGGTGGGAAATGCTACTATGGTAATTGAAAGGTGGGGCCTTGGAGAGGTGATTGGATTGTAGGACCATGCAGTAGTGAATGGATTAGCAATGGTGATCAGGGGTGTGGTTCTAAGGGCTTTAAAAGGAGAGCACGTGGGAGGTTAGTCTCTCTCTGCTCCACTGTTTTCGCAATGTGATACTCTGCCGTCACTGTTGCCACCACCAAGGCTCTCAACAGATGTGTTCCCTGGACTTTGGACTTCCCAGCCTCAGGAACTGTAAGGAATAAGTTTTGTTTTCTTTATAAAATACCCAGTTTAGTGTATTTTGTTATAAATGGAATAATACAATCTTCCTTCAAACTAGTTCTCTACTTCAGCTTCTTGCTTTAATCAGTGGCACCTGTCTTCCTGTCAAATCCAGCTGGTAAATATACTCCTAGGATGAATGATGTAATACATAGAAGGGATAGGTACAAGATATTTTAAGGAGAGATCAACAAGACTTGGTGACTGGCTCAGAGG